ATATTTATCATACCGGAAGCGTAAAGAAATACATCTAAGCATATTTGGATAGTAAATTTAATTCTGAGTTTAATGATATAAAAATATTTAAAATTACGTTTAAAATGTTAGCCTTTTCCTTCTGAAAGTTTTCGCGACAATAAAATATATTTATCATATCGGGAAGCGTAAAATAATACATCTAAGCATTGGATAGGAAATTTAATTCTGAGTTTAATGATATAAAAATATTTAAAATTACGTTTAAAATGTTAGCCTTTTCCTTCTGAATGTTTTAGCGACAAAAAATATATTTATCATACCAGAAGCGTAAAATAATACTGCCAATCATTTTTATATAAGAAATTTAATTCTGAGTTTAATGATATAAAAATATTTAAAATTACGTTTAAAATGTTAGCCTTTTCCTTCTGAAAGTTTTCGCGACAATAAAATATATTTATCATATCGGGAAGCGTAAAATAATACATCTAAGCATATTTGGATAGGAAATTTAAATCTGAGTTTAATGATATAAAAATACTTAAAATTACGTTTAGATTGTTAGCCTTTTCCTTCTGAAAGTTTTCGCGACAAAAAATATATTTATCATACCAGAAGCGTAAAATAATACATCCAAGCATTTTTGGATAAGAAATTTAATTCTGAGTTTAATGATATATAAATAAATTACGTTTAGAATGTTAGCCTTTTCCTTCTGAAAGTTTTCGCGACCAAAAATATATTTATCATACCGGAAGCGTAAAATAATACATCCAAGCATTTTTGGATAAGAAATTTAATTCTGAGTTTAATGATATATAAATATTTAGAATTACGTTTAAATGTTAGCCTTTTCCTTCTGAATGTTTTAGCGATAAAAAATATATTTATCATACCGGAAGCGTAAAATAATACATCTAAGCATATTTAGATAGTAAATTTAATTCTGAGTTTAATGATATAAAAATACTTAAAATTACGTTTAGAATGTTAGCCTTTTCCTTCTGAAAGTTTTCGCGACAAAAAATATATTTATCATATCGGCAAGCGTAAAATAATACATCTAAGCATATTTGGATAGGAAATTTAAATCTGAGTTAAATGATATAAAACAACTTAAAATTACGTTTAGATTGTTAGTCTTTTCCTTCTGAAAGTTTTCGCGACAAAAAATATATTTATCATACCAGAAGCGTAAAATAATACATCCAAGCATTTTTGGATAAGAAATTTAATTCTGAGTTTAATGATATATAAATAAATTACGTTTAGAATGTTAGCCTTTTCCTTCTGAAAGTTTTCGCGACAAAAAATATATTTATCATACCGGAAGCGTAAAATAATACATCCAAGCATTTTTGGATAAGAAATTTAATTCTGAGTTTAATGATATAAAAATATTTAAAATTACGTTTAAAATGTTAGCCTTTTCCTTCTGAAAATTTTCGCGACAATAAAATATATTTATCATATCGGGAAGCGTAAAATAATACATCCAAGCATTTTTATATAAGAAATTTAATTCTGAGTTTAATGATACAAAAATACTTAAAATTACGTTTAGAATGTTAGCCTTTTCCTTCTGAAAGTTTTCGCGACAAAAAATATATTATACCGGAAGCGTAAAATAATACATCCAAGCATTTTTGGATATGAAATTTAATTCTGAGTTAAATGATATAAAAATATTTAAAATTACGTTTAAAATGTTAGCCTTTTCCTTCTGAAAATTTTCGCGACAATAAAATATATTTATCATATCGGGAAGCGTAAAATAATACACCCAAGCATTTTTATATAAGAAATTTAATTCTGAGTTTAATGATACAAAAATACTTAAAATTACGTTTAGAATGTTAGCCTTTTCCTTCTGAAAGTTTTCGCGACAAAAAAATATATTTATCATACCGGAAGCGTAAAATAATACATCCAAGCATTTTTGGATAAGAAATTTAATTCTGAGTTTAATGATATAAAAATATTTAAAATTACGTTTAAAATGTTAGTCTTTTCCTTCTGAAAGTTTTCGCGACAAAAAATATATTTATCATACCAGAAGCGTAAAATAATACATCCAAGCATTTTTATATAAGAAATTTAATTCTGAGTTTAATGATACAAAAATACTTAAAATTACGTTTAGAATGATGTTAGCCTTTTCCTTCTGAAAGTTTTCGCGACAAAAAATATATTTATCATACCAGAAGCGTAAAATAATACATCCAAGCATTTTTATATAAGAAATTTAATTCTGAGTTTAATGATACAAAAATACTTAAAATTACGTTTAGAATGATGTTAGCCTTTTCCTTCTGAAAGTTTTCGCGACAAAAAATATATTTATCATACCAGAAGCGTAAAATAATACATCCAAGCATTTTTGGATAGTAAATTTAATTCTGAGTTTAATGATATATAAATAAATTACGTTTAGAATGTTAGCCTTTTCCTTCTGAAAGTTTTCGCGACAAAAAATATATTTATCATATCGGCAAGCGTAAAATAATACATCTAAGCATATTTGGATAGGAATTTAAATCTGAGTTTAATGATATAAAAATACTTAAAATTACGTTTAGATTGTTAGCCTTTTCCTTCTGAATGTTTTCGCGACAAAAAATATATTTATCATATCGGCAAGCGTAAAATAATACATCTAAGCATATTTGGATTGGAATTTAAATCTGAGTTTAATGATATATAAATATTTAAAATTACGTTTAAATGTTAGCCTTTTCCTTCTGAAAATTTTCGCGACAATAAAATATATTTATCATATCGGGAAGCGTAAAATAATACATCTAAGCATATTTGGATAGGAAATTTAATTCTGAGTTTAATGATATATAAATATTTAAAATTACGTTTAAATGTTAGCCTTTTCCTTCTGAATATTTTCGCGATAAAAAATATATTTATCATACCGGAAGCGTAAAATAATACATCTAAGAAATTTGGATAGTAAATTTAATTCTGAGTTTAATGATATAAAAATACTTAAAATTACGTTTAGAATGTTAGCCTTTTCCTTCTGAAAGTTTTCGCGACAAAAAATATATTTATCATATCGGCAAGCGTAAAATAATACATCTAAGCATATTTGGATAGGAATTTAAATCTGAGTTTAATGATATAAAAATACTTAAAATTACGTTTAGATTGTTAGTCTTTTCCTTCTGAAAGTTTTCGCGACAAAAAATATATTTATCATACCAGAAGCGTAAAATAATACATCCAAGCATTTTTATATAAGAAATTTAATTCTGAGTTTAATGATACAAAAATACTTAAAATTACGTTTAGAATGTTAGCCTTTTCCTTCTGAAAGTTTTCGCGACAAAAAAATATATTTATCATACCGGAAGCGTAAAATAATACATCCAAGCATTTTTGGATATGAAATTTAATTCTGAGTTTAATGATATAAAAATATTTAAAATTACGTTTAAAATGTTAGCCTTTTCCTTCTGAAAATTTTCGCGACAATAAAATATATTTATCATATCGGGAAGCGTAAAATAATACATCTAAGCATATTTGGATAGGAAATTTAAATCTGAGTTTAATGATATAAAAATACTTAAAATTACGTTTAGATTGTTAGCCTTTTCCTTCTGAATGTTTTCGCGATAAAAAATATATTTATCATACCGGAAGCGTAAAATTATACATCTAAGCATATTTGGATAGTAAATTTAATTCTGAGTTTAATGATATAAAAATACTTAAAATTACGTTTAGAATGTTAGCCTTTTCCTTCTGAAAGTTTTCGCGACAAAAAATATATTTATCATACCGGAAGCGTAAAATAATACATCCAAGCATTTTTGGATATGAAATTTAATTCTGAGTTTAATGATATAAAAATATTTAAAATTACGTTTAAAATGTTAGCCTTTTCCTTCTGAAAATTTTCGCGACAATAAAATATATTTATCATATCGGGAAGCGTAAAATAATACATCTAAGCATATTTGGATAGGAAATTTAAATCTGAGTTTAATGATAAAAAAATACTTAAAATTACGTTTAGATTGTTAGCCTTTTCCTTCTGAATGTTTTCGCGATAAAAAATATATTTATCATACCGGAAGCGTAAATTATACTGTGGTAAAAAAATTATGATAAATGGTATTTTTAATCTAGATCTGTAATTATCTTGATAAAATATTGGCGTTCGATTTTAATCGAAAAAAATCGCGAATTTTGCCAATCATATTTTATTAAATTTAATATTATATCCTACCCAATTCAAATATCAATTAACTATGTAGATAATAAATTTATATTATATCTATATTTTATTTACACCAAATCTTTATAATTACCTAAAAAGGCATAATTTATAGATTATTTATATAACGTTTTGATTAATACAAGCTCTTCGAAATATACAATCGTAGTCTGTGTATGAGCAAATTTATTTTCCCCAAATGGATATAAAATATTAATTAGGAGGCGGATCATCTTCACCTTCTTGTCCCCAAGGATGAGCTTCAGCCCTTCTTCCTTCTGGTAATAATTCGTATTCATCATTTGCTTCATCGGTATCGCGCCCAGCAAAATCAAATAGGTATATTCTTTACAATCGTACGATATAAGTAATTGCAAAAAATAAAAAAAAGTAGAAATAAATATAAAGGAAGAATTACGTGATACGTGATAAAAAACGTTTTCGCCTTCTGGTTGTGAATACAACAGAGCTACGCTAGGTTTTCCTCAAACCCATCAAAATAGATATTTAATTAAGGTGGGGAAAAAATGAGGAGCCCTTACGTTTGTGGACAAACCGCACGTTGCGCAATAGTCCTAGGACTACTGCTCAAACGTCTGTGGTCTGATTAAAAGGGAGTGGCCAAAATAAACACAGCCCATACCCATGAATTTATCTACATTTGTTATCGTATTCTTTTCATAAAATAGCAAATGGTAATAAACAAGGTTTAACATATTTGCATTTAAATAACTCAGTATTATGATTTATTCTACTTTTTAACGAGTTTCAATAATTTAATTATTTCCTGTATAATAATCAAAAGATCCGATTTTTTTACATCATGTAATTTTCTCATATTAAATTTTTAAAATGTATTTCTGATTAGTTTCCCTGGAATATATCGCATATATCCAAATCATCTAAGAGTGCGATTTTTAAATTCTGATTCCTGAAATGTATTTCAGAATATCAGTACCAATTTAATTTCAGATAATTTCGCAATAGATTTTTTGATATTTTTTAAATTTAAGAAAAAAATGATAATTAACAATGGCAAGAGAAATCGCCCTCATATATGATTTGAATTGAGATTCTAAATCCTCACATGAGAATTCCTGATATGTAATACTTATCTCATATATTCGTCTATTATAAAGTATTTATTAAAGCGCTTAAAATATGTCCAAGGGAAGAGATATTTGGCAAAAAATAATAATTTGTAAATTTAGAATACATTTTTTGGAAAGAAAGAGACCCATGTGAAGTTTCAAATTAAGGATTTACTTAAAGACAAGGTACTAAAGTTAAACAACCTGCCTTCAAATCATCATTTGATGATAATTTAGCTGATGTTCAGTATTCGTGCCCTCGTAAGGGTAAGGTAATAATAGAATTAATCGCTGCACGTGTTGTTTGTATATAAAATTAAAACCATGTCTTACTTTGGAATCAACGACATTATACGGATGTATGTGGTTGAATGATTACATCCAATTCAATGGCCTATGATACTGATAAGAGGTTACGGCTTATTAATGTTTCCAACCATTCCTAAAACTGGTAAAATTGGCATTCTGTAATAGTTAAATATATTCCAATGGATGGTACGATGAGAGTATTTAAAATTTTTTTAATTGAAGCTTAAAAATTGACTGATGTGTTAAACTATAAATCTAGGTATTATATTTTCTTTATCATTATAAAGTTATGTAATTTGATGGAAAACATTTCCATATTTTTTAATTTATTTACAATATGAATGTTTTCCACCAAATCTGCACAACACTGTATATGTACATTATGTAATTTGTGTTTTCCAAACTAGCATGCAATATGGACTAGTTGTGAAAATGTTATCTACTATATATTAATATGATTATAAAAAGTAGTGTTTTTTTAGAGTTTTTTCTTTCTTAAAATGTACGATTTAAATAAATAATACTTAAAGCTAAATGACGCATTCTGTGTCTATATCCTCAATGTGAAATACTATTATCAGATGAAGAAAATAAGGCTAGAAAACATTTATATAAACTTGGAATGTAATTGAGGAACTTGGCCATGGTATAATGATTAAAGTTCCCAAATTAGTTCGAGTTAAAATAATTATCCCAACCTTGTAGATGATTTTGAATCCTTATTGCAAATAAAAGAAAATAACAAACGTCAACTTAAATCAAAAGCGATGAATAGTTACTATTATAAATTCTTTTAACGGCATAGAACGGTTGTAAATTGGAAAAAAAGAATTAAAGCAACCCTAGGTATGTATTAGCGGTAATAGCCATTTGCGTTCCAGCTATACAGGTTTCGATCGAAAAAACATTTTCAGGATTTTGAAATATATTTTATTATCATTGAGATTAGTTATAATTTTATATACAAATAATAATGGGTTAACTCTAAACCAAGGTTGGCAAGTAGGTCAAATTCAGACAATTGACCGAAGGAGCATTTGACCTGATCAAATAATCAATATATTATTAATGAATAAATTTATTGATTTAATTAACTAATATGTATTTAAACCATATTTATGGTTACAATTTATTTAAATATATTTGTATCATCAAGGCATTGTTTTAGTTATAATTTTATATATAAGATTTTTATTATAATATTAGAATTTCATTTTAAAATATAAAGGAATTTTTCTCATTAATAATTTAATTGGATCTCAAAATATAAATAAATATAAAAATTTTGCTAAAACATACATTATGTACAATTATCCAAACAGATGGGCAGCGTCAAAAGAATGTAAGAGCAATTACAAATTTTTAAAGGTGATGATAATCAAAATATTTTAAGTGATATAATAAATTTCAGAAGTAAAAGCGACGGTATATTTAATAGCCAAAATATGTGTTGTAACTTTTATAAAAAACAATCAGTATTCCAAGTTGTTGGAATGGGCTTTGCCCACCTTGAACATGTATCTATTTTACAAACAATCTAGTTAACTTATTTTCAGAAAGAATTAGTCGGTTTGGGGTTATATTCAAAAGAAGAAAAGAAATCGATTGAAGATCTCGACAATTAGAATGATAAGAGTATATCATAAACTAAGATTGATTAGAAATATTTAAAATAATGATAATATTGTATATAAATCAGAACAAGGCTCTGGCATGGAGAGCGAAACATTAATTATGGAATTTAAAAAAAGATAATTTAATATTAAAGATTTATTTTTTACTATAATTATATTAAAAAACATATATTTGAATTTGACCGGTCAAATATCGTCCAATTGACAGAATTTTATTTGACCGGTCAAAGGCACAACCCTGCTTTAAACTGTTTTATTACTCTATATTTATCATAAAATAAGATTAAAAATATTTATAGAGCTGGATATCCTGTATAAAAAATAATTACTGAACCTTTATTTAAAGGTTTTAGGAACCAAAACCATTATAAAATTGTGCCTTGACCTTTATAAATTTTCTTCCTAAAACCTAAACGGAACCCATATTTTTATCAAATAAATAGTACGCGTATTAAAGCCGAAATTTTTTTTCAAATATTTTTGTATATCTAATAAAATATTTAGCGCGTCAATGTGCTATTTATGAAATGTGTTACTAGGTGAGCATGGGTTTGACTAAACTGCAAATGCTTACGTAAAATTTTTTGATATATTTTCTATTAATTGGAGTGAGATTCATTTTCTTATGATATGAATAACTTATAAAATTTATATTATTAGATATAATCAATAGATGTATTGCCTTTTATCTCATAATAAATAGTTTAAATCCTTTAATATATTTAAATTAAAATAATTAAAATTACATTTTAAATTTCATTAATATTAAATCCGCAAGTTGGCGTATTATTATTATATGAACTAAAAAAAAATTTATTTTAGTATATTTTAAAATCATATTATATTATTATTTAAAAAGATGTTTGACGTGTTTGACTAAACTGCAAATGCCAAATTGCAAATGCTTAGGTAAAAAATTTTGGCATATTCTCTATTGAGTGAGATTCATTTTCTTATATGAATAACTTATAAAAATTATATTATTAGATTAGATGTAGTGAACTGCATCGGGCCATTTAAATATAGAAATTAATTCTTATAATTACTCAAAATAAACTATATATGTTATATGACGTCTACTTTCTACAAATAAAATCACATATTTTTATTTTACATAAAAAATTCAACATAAAATTGATAAATTTAGATATATTTAAAAAATTTTTAGGCTCGACCCAACCCGAATTTTCTTAAAAAATATTAGGCCCGTCCCGAAGCTCGTTCGGGCCGGGCCGAATTCGGGCCGATTATCTTAAAAAAAGTATTATAATAACATTTTAAATTATAATAATATAAAATCCGCCAGTTGGCGTATTATTTTTTATGCAATAATACGCCAACTTGCGGATTTAATAATAATGAAATTTAAAATATAATTATATTTAATTTAATTAAGATTTAAACTCTTTATTATGAGATAAAAGGAAATACAACTATTAATGTTTATCATTGAATATATCTAAGAATTTAATTTTTTATAAGTTATTTATAGATTAAGAAAATGAACCTCACTCCAATTAAGTGATAATATATGAAAAATTTTTAACCTAAGTTAACCTTGGCATTTGTAGTTTAGTCAAACCGGGCAGGGATTGTTATTTCCGTATAACCACTAAATCGCCATGTTCAAAATCGCCAAAACGTCCAATAACATCCTCAAAACATCCCCAAAAAGAGCTTCAAAAAATGGCTGCTAAAATTTAAAAAATAAGCCAAATTTCCGTATAACCACTAAATCGCCATGTTCAAAATCGCCAAAACGTCCAATAACATCCTCAAAACATCCCCAAAAAGAGCTTCAAAAAATGGCCGCTAAAATTTAAAAAATAAGCCAAAGTTGTTTAGAAAGGATTATTTTATTTATAATATTTAACTGAAACCTTTTTGCATCAATATGAATTTACAAGATTATTCCAGGATACAAAATATTCAATTTAAAGTAAATTACCATTATTATTACATTATATATTTTTATTAAAAAACCCAAAAAACAATGATGTAATTGTCTATTTGGGCTATGAATATTTAATCAAGGGCAATGGTCAAAATTACATTTACCTAATATGCAGACGTAAATGTGGGGGTCGAGCTAAGCTTTCATTAGTAGATGTTGTTACAAAACAACATATTGACACTTGTAAATGTAAGAATATATCTTCTTCATTTATTGTAACAAATTATTATATTATTTATTTTTAAAGATGCAACAGTATCAAGGCTCCCTATTCCTTTGCAATGTATTTTAAAATTTTTATTAAACTTAATATTTTTTTAGCAAATAATAATCTTATCCCCTAAATACCTCAAATTAG